ACAGGATGTGCTTAATAATATTAATATTATATATATATATATATATATATATATATATATAAAATATATGTGTATTTACCACAGATGAAAATTTATAACCATGTCTTTCAGTTTTACAAACTACGATCGAACTGATATGGCTCGACTTGTCTTAACTTGAAGCACAATCACAATAAAGCTGAAAATAATATAAAACATTATTGATCTGTCAATTCAATAATGGTGCTAAAACGCACTTTAAATTATAAAGAACTATAATTTTTATAACAATTATGTTATTACTATTTAAAATGTTTTCCAAAGCTTACTTATTCACAATTATAAGATGTTAACACAGGATGTACATCTTTTCTGCGCTGAATATTCAACCAAAATCCACCCTCCGGCATTAGTAACCCATCTTTGCAAAATTTTATTGGGGAAACGGTTTTCGTAGAAGGTTTCAATTCATATCGTGCTAATAAATGAAATAGCAAAATTTTAACTTCTAGCATAGCAAATCTGTTAGCTATGCACATTCTCGGTCCTAATCCAAATGGCATATAACACGACGAATTGTGCATTTTATTGTCTAAAAATCTTTCTGGATCAAATTTCTCCGGATTATCGTAATACTTTTCATCACGTTGGATTGCAAAAATCGGAATCCAAACAAGCATATCCTTTTTTATGATAAAAGGTTTCTTGTCCGGCAATGCGGATGGTAATTCATAAGTTTTTTTGCACATCCTATCTAAGAAACCGATTGGTGGATATAATCTAAGAGTCTCATTTATCACCGCATCTAAATATTCCAGCCGATTAATGACTTCGTAAGACACTTCGCCATTTGATTTCTCCAAAACGTTGTCGATCTCTTGTTGTAATTTAGTCTGAATATCTGGATTAGCTGCAATTTCGTGAGCTGCAAAGCACATTTCGGTTGAACTGGTCTCAAAACCGCCGAGGAAAAAGATGAACGCTTGCGCAGTCATGTCGTCGATGTCTAGTTCTCTGTGACCTTCTTTGCCTCTGATATCCATCATTAACTGTAGCATATCCGGACGTGTAATGTGTTCTGCATCACGAGTCATGATTGTAGTTTTTATAATGTCCTTGAAGAAATTTGACACATAATCGTTCAAAATCTTTATATTGAGAATTCGACTGAATCTTGGAAAAGTTCCAAGAAAAAGAAATTTTATACCGCGGATGACCCCTCTGAAGTTACTCGCCTCCTTGCCGTAAACATAGAATTTATTTGTTGGATCTTTCATAGAGTTGACTTTAATTCCAAACGCACATGTAGCGATGACGTCGTTTGTATATTTTGAGAAAACATCTTTCGTGTTTATACTTTCTTCATCCGCTAACGATGTTGGCATAAATTTTACAAAATCCACAGCACATTCTGACATCAATGTGAACATCATTTTCATCTTGCTGGAAGTAAAAGAAGGACTCAACAGATTTCTCACGTTCCGCCATTTTTCTCCATGAAGAGAAAACAAATTGTTCTTGAATAAAAAGTCATTCGTATTGGAGAAACCTTGACGATCTGGAAATGCTTCAAAATTTTTAACAAGGATATTTTTAATGAGTTCCAAATCACGAATCACGAGTATTGGATTTGTCATGAAGTAGAATCCAAGATATTTTGTGTTTGGATTAAAATAATATACCTTCAGGATGAAATCTATTAATGATATTCGACGAAATATAACCGATATCGCAGATCCAAATATTGGAACAGGTGGTATATGTACAATATCATGTCTTTTAAAGAAATTAAAATTTTTAAAAAGATAGTGAATACTGATCACTCCGATTATTATCGACAATAATATCGACCAGTATTCCATGGCACAAACTGATTTTGTTTAAAAATCTCACTACAATTTTTTTAGACGTCTGATAAGATATGACTATCTATAAAACACTAGCGGTACTGCCGAGGCGAGTCGTAGCATGCAACTGTTCGTGTAGTAGGTCCTATCTCGTTATATACCGGTTATGAAGTGATTGCTTTCAAGCTGCTTTATGTGTGCGTTCAGGATGATGCTATTTGTGTTATTCTGTCCTTGGTTTACATTTAATGAACAATAAAGAAAAAAATGACACACGTAGCTAATATCTCCATTCTCTGGATGCATATTATATAAAATTAGTCAACGTTAATACTTTGTTCATTGCAAATCAATGAATCTTTGTATATGCTTTATATTCGTGTATATGTAGCACACCCACTCACACCTACTTACACACACACACACACACACACACACACACACACACACACACGCACGCACGCACGCACGCACGCGATATATATACCATATACATATATCTCAATGATGCGAATTCCAGCCCGCTTGCAGCACGATTAATAACATGAAGAGAGTATAAGAACTTCTTATACTCTCATCATGCTATTAATCGTGCTATAAACGGGCTGAAATTCGCATCATTGATATATTTAGATATACAGAATTAAATTAATTATGTAAAAAGATAAATGAAGAAGTTTATGATCATATTCAATTCAAAGATTGACGCATATAGATACTGTACTTAACATAAAATACTGTACTGTCATTATGGGATTATTTCCAAATATATGAAACATCGTTAAACAACAATTATTTTTTACTGGGATTATTATTTCATTATATAAAATCGAATAAATAAAAAAATAGTGTAAAATTTTTTTGTACGCTTACTTTATATGTATATTTAAAATGAATTTTATCAAAAGAAAATGCACTTATTTTAACAAAAATATTATATTTTTATTCGAAGAATAATAAAAAATTATACAATTTACACGAGAACGATAGGGGATGTTCACATGAGGTTTCAGCCTTGAGAACTTCTATAAAATGGAACTTCTATAAAATTGATAAATTTGTTTAAAATACAATATGTAAAGTTTGATATTGGACCAATCATCCAATATTAAATTCCACTTTTTCATAAGCAGGGAAAGTAGGAAAAATCATGTTTGAAGTTTCCCAAATTCAGCCGATATTGACTAACTTGGAATTTATTGATTTCAGAAGTTTCTCCTGAGCTTTCATGTTCCGTAGATAACCTCATATATAAAATCTAATATACTTTAAAATAGCATTATACAAACATAAAAATCTTTGTTATTACCTATTTTATGTTTTATATTTCTTACATTTACGTTTATTCATTACATTTTCTTCTATCATTACTTGTTAATGCAAAACCAGTAGCATCGATAAAGATATAACTTACATAACAATTTTACGAAGTGTGTTATTTATCAATTTGATAAAACTAAGTTGTTTTAATTTATAATTACTATTACTTATTATCAATATAAATTACATTATATATTACTATTATTAATTTGTCAATACAAATGATTAATTGTTGACTTTATTGATATTCAAATGATAAATATATAAATTTGTAATAAAATTATGTAGAATTATTGTGCAATTTTTCATATATGGTACATAAATATATCAGTGGACAGTCAATGACATGACTTAATGATTGGACAAATCGAAAAAATTTTAAATATTAAATATTTAACTATTAATAAATTTTAACTATTAAAAATGATATGTACTATTTTAAATAAATGTGTTGTTTATAACAAAAATTTAATGTTTCATACTAAATAATTTAATATTTTTAATATTATTTATCTATTTATATTCCTTAATATGTAATTTACTAATGTCCGCGAAGGTTTATATAAACATTTTACATTGAAGATTTTTAGAATTATGGAACTATTAATTTATTAATTTTAATTAATTATTGATGTTCGCACTGAGTAATTATAATATATAATCTGGACGTTATTATTATTGCATAAAATACTGTAATATGTGTTCACATAAATGTGATAATTTCTATTACAAATATAGTTTTTATTACAAATGTAACTTCTGTAATAAGTAAAATTTAGTTCGACAAGATTAAATCAAATAAGATAAGGAATACTTTTTCGGTCAAAACAGATCATGATAATAATGTTCATATTTAGAAATAAAACAGTTTGTATTAAATAATGATAACATTTCCAAATTATTATTGAAAATTTCTATACATATTAGACAACTCTATAAACTGCGCGTCGAGGTCTGTCGGACTAAACACACTAATGAATTAAAACTGCCGATAACATTATAAATTATGTTGATATATAGTCATTTTAATAATATAATGTGGTGCTAAGAAGTACCTTGATTACCCACATAAAATACTCTAAAGAACTGATAATTATCATATTTTATAAAAGCTATGTTACCACTTGGTATTCGAAAAGATCAGAAGCTTCTATTATTGTAGACTCCAATACAGAATGCATATTTCTTCTACGTTGAATATTCAACCAGAATCCATCCTCCGGTATCATTACTATTACATCTTTGCAGAATTTCATTGGTGATGTAGTTTTCACAGATGGTTTCAATTCACATCGCGCTAATAAATGAAAAAGCAAGACTTTGACTTCCAACATGGCAAATCTGTAAGCTATACACATTCTCGGTCCTAATCCGAATGGCATATAACATGAAGAATTACGCATCTTGTTGTTTAAAAATCTTTCTGGATCAAATTTCTCCGGATTATCGTAATACTTTTCATCACGATGGATTGCAAGAACTGGAATCCAAACAAGCATACCTTTTTTTATGATAAAAGGTTTTTCGTTCGGCAATGCGGGTGGTAATTCAAAAGTTTTTTCGCAAATTCTTTCTAAGGCGGCAACTGGTGGATATAATCTAAGAGCTTCACATATCACTGCATCTAAATATTCGAGTCTATTAATAACTTCGTAAGACACTTCTCCGTTTGATTCCTCCAAAACCTTGTCGATCTCTTGTTGTAATTTCGTTTGAATTTCAGGATTAGCTGCAATTTCATGAGCTGCATAACACATTGTGGTTGAACTGGTCTCGAAACCGCCGAGGAAAAAAATGAACGCTTGCGCAGTCATGTCGTCAATGTCTAGTTCTCTATGACCTCCTTTGCCTCTGATATCCATCATTAACTGTAGCATATCCGGACGCGTAATATGTTCTGCGTCGCGAGTGGCGATTGTAGTTCTTACAATGTCCTTGAAGAAATCCGACACGTAATTGTTTATAATTTTCAAATTGAGAATTCGCCCAAGTCTTGGAAATATAGAAAGAAAAAAGAACTTTATACCGCGAATGATTCCTCTGAAATTAGTCGCCTCTTTGCCGTAAATATAGAATTTGTTTGTTGGATCTTTTATGGAGTTGATCTTAATTCCGAAAGCACATGTTGCGATGACATCATTTGTATATTTGGTGCATATGTCTTTCATGTCTATACTGCCTTTATCCGCTGGTGATGTCGATAGAAATTTTGCAAAATCCACAGCACATTCGGACATCAATGTAAACATCATTTTCATCTTGCTGGATGTAAAAGAGGGACTCAACAGATTTCTCACGTTCCGCCATTTTTCTCCACGAAGAGAAAACAAATTATTCTCAAATAAAGGCTCGTTAAAATCGACGAAACCACGATGATCTGGAAATGCCTCGAAATTTTTAACCAGGACAGTTTTAATAAGTTCCAGATCGCGAAGCAAGAAGACAGGAGTTGTCATCATGTAGAATCCAAAATATTTTGCGTTTGGAGTGAAATTATATTTCTTTAGTATGAAATCGAAGATTGATATTCGGCGAAATACAACCGACATCGTGGATCCAAATAATGGAACAGGTGGTAAGTGTATAATACCATTTCTTTTGAAGAAATTAAAATTTTTAAACAGATAATGAATACTGATCACTCCGATCACTATCGATAATAATATCGACCAATATTCCATGGCACAAACAGATGTTATTAGAAGATCTTCTTATAATCTCTTTTTAAACATTTAAACATTCTTTTTAAACATTTATAAAAAGTGACTGACTATACATACAGCACTAGCGTTACTGCTGACACGAATCGTTACGTGCAACTGTTCCTTACAGCAGTTTCTATGCAATATACCAGTCAATCGTTGTGAAGTAAATGTTTTCAAACTACATTATGGATGTGGGATGAAGCAATCCGTGCTATTTGTGTTATTCCGTTTTTGTTAACATCCAATGGACGATAAAGATAGAATGATATAAATAGCGTTAGTAGCGTTTTCCCAAACGCACTTTATGTATATGTAATACATACACACACGCGCGCGCACGCACGCACGCACGTATGTATGTA